TACATTTGGGAATTTGAATAATATCAAACCCAAATCGTTTATAAATTGTCTCATTTAGTACCGTTATTTTACGAAAGTGAGGGTAGGAAGATGTGCCAATTTTCAATTATCAATCACCGACTAATGAGATACATTCCGCAAGAGAAGAAGAGGAAAAATGTGGTCACGTGGTTTAATAATAACAACATCCGCATGTGCTATGTTTACAATGGATTCGATAGCAGATATTCCGCTGAAATTAATTGATTTTTCGAATTTAGAAATTTATGGCTATTGCGAGAAATTAAAAAAATACGTTTGGAAATTATTTCTCTTTCCTTGATGTCAACAAGAATATTCAAGGAAAAACATGTGAACAATATTTGTTTCAAAGTAATGCCGGATACCCCGGTACTTTCCGGCCTTAACAAGCTGTGTTAAGGCCGAAATGAAGAAATCAATTAATTATGAAACATCTGTGCAATTTCTGCAGAAAACCAGGGAAGATTAATAAATTTTTCTTAAGCGTGATGCTTACCAGGATAAATAATTTTTTTTATTTTTTTATTTTTTATTTTTTATTTTATTTTTTTTTTTTTTTTTTTTTTTTTTTTTTTTTTAAGAATATTAAGCATATATGAGTTAAGTGAGAACTATTCCCGAGACCTTGAATAACGTTTTCCAAACTTTTAAATGTAAGTGTAATAATAGTATATTCATAGTTCATGAATAATTCTTCTAAATTACTGAAATAGCCGAATTCATGAAAGATCTGTTTATCCGCAAGAACATTAATACAAAGCCAATTTTTCTCATTAATATTAATTAGTGTCATAGAATATTTTATGCAGCTAAAATTTTATCAATTTCATCAGGACGTGTTTTAATATTTTAGCTGTTGTAATCGATTTTTAATGAATACACATAAATATCGGAATGTTAATTTTTTAATACCTTCCATTGTAGATATCAAGGATACCAACAGCTGTAATATTAGAAGCATCAGTAATACTGAAACATTTTAATATAAAAGGATGGTTTTATAAGAATTTATAATTAATTCTAAATTTTCATGGGAGATTTCTGAGTTTTTTAGTTTAAATATTAAATTAGCATGTATATTTAGTCCTTGAAAACCAGTGGTTGTATCAGTCCATAGTTTGAGATAACATGCGCCTTAGGTATATGCATTAGAATTACATTAGTCTATTTCCTATGGTAGATCTTTTCAATAAATACATTTGAAAATCTTTTTGAGATACATGATTTAAAAAAAAATCCTGCAGATAAATTATGTAACTTACAAGATTAGAAGTAACTTCAAATTTATTTTTTAAATATTTAAAATGTATGCAGATAGTACTTTATTATTATTTATTATTATAAAATGAAGAAAAATGTATTATGAAAAATTATTAGTTTCACAGCTAGTACTGCAGTGAACTCAGTTGCACAAATCTCTATATTGTTCTTTTTGACATTTATATAGTATACAAAATGTGTTAATTTGTAGTATATACTATCAGCAGTCTAAAGTCAGTTGCTAAAAATCAACCTTTAAGTTGTATAAAATTATATATTAATTTTGAACTGCGCAGAACATTAGCATCGTTATCTTACATGATTTAAGGGCCAACTGCATTTACAGTGCTCCGGAAAATTGACTATTACGATTTTTAGAAACCAACTATTTAGATTTACTGTTCTGCTTGTTAAGCTGATAAAATTATGACTTAAAAATATTTATAGTAACTTTCTTTTCAGTGTAGAAGAGCAATCTATGTAAACATGATTTTATGTATTAATTTTTACATTTTTTATAAGAGAATTAATTATCAGGTCAAGGAAAGAATTCATAAATAAATATTAAGAATCAAAACATGGTAAAGCATCGAACGAAAGAGTATCAGGAAAATAACAATAACATATAAGAGGGGTAGAGTAGAATTTAAGGTACCCCTTGTATTATGGCGAAATTGTTGTTTCATTTATCGCCAAGTTGTGTTGTTGTTTCATTTATGGTAGCCTGAGTAGTTGAATGTTATGGAAACCCTATTGCGACTTAATCGGATGCATGATTCTGAGAAATTATGAATCATGGGATGTTTTGTAAGCGTTTTTGTGGTGTGTGTGGGTTTGATTCTTTAGACGGTATAATGGCCGAATGTAGTAAGATTAATTTGTAATTTGAAGTTTCTGTACGATTTGGAGCGAAAGGTTTAATTGACTGGTGTGTAAATGAAGGTTTACTTAGTAACCATTATAAGTGTCCTGTATGTAGGAAGGATATGCGTCTAGTCGAACGTAAAAGCCGTTTAGATGGATTTGAATGGGTTTGTAGGAAGAAAGGTTCTGATGGTCACTATGTGAAGCGTTCGATCAGAAAGAGTACCTGGTTATAAAAAAAGTCATTTGAGTATGATTGATATTTTGATTTTTACGTGGCTCTGGGTGTACGAAGCGAACTCGAAAATCATAGTAAGTGAATATTTGCTTTTTGGTAGTGCTTAAATGTATAACATGTTTTTCCATTTTTATGTTATTTTATGGTTTGGTTTAAAATGTATTTTATTGAGATTATGTATTTTTATTTGCCTATATTGTAGAATTTGGTGCTCCTTTGACTTTTTAAGTGAAAATATATCGATGTGTACATGGACAAAGTAAAGAGAGTGCGCAATGGAAGTTTGTGCAATTCTGGGATTTTTTTTAAGTGAAAATAGGTCGACGTGTACATGGATAAAGTCAAAGGAGTGCGCAATGCCATTTTTGTGCAATTCGGAGATTTTTTTAAGTCAAAATAAGTCGATGTGTACATGGATATCGAGTTTGTGCAATTGTTTGTCTTGTTATTTTGGCTCTGTGTAGCCGCCGTTTCGCAAGGCAAAACAACGAATCAAAGAATTGCACAAAATCGGTGTCCATTTACCTCCAAAAATCGCCACGTTTCGCCAAGGGGTACCCTAAACTATACTTTTACCTGTAAGAGTTACCAAAATTATACTAACAAAATGAATGAACAGTTAATTAATGGATGAAATAATAATTAAAGATGAAATGCAGATTTCATAAGTAATGAAAAATAAACAAAGTTTCAGAATTTTCAACACATCTACCACAGTCCTAGCCCGTATAGGGCCATAGGGCAAACTTTGCTTTGCAAGGTGGATCGGGCTACGCCCTAACAAAACAAGAACAAAACATCTACCACAGCACAAGCTTGTTTGTTTACAATAGTAGTTCTTACATCACGTGACCTCCGACGTCACCGGAATGTGTCTCATTAATACCTGTTGAAATCCTCTCATTAATTTTTGCAGAAATATTTTAAAATATACTGTATATAAATTTATTTCAATTTAATTTTAATTCATTTAGTTTTTAAAGTAACTTTATCTGGACTTATAGCCAAAATACACTCATGTCCATAAATTAAGGATAATTCGGAATCACGCGGAAATCGAACTCTAAAATAAATATAGTACCTGTAAAATCACTATACACATCTTCAAGAATCGTATGCACATTTCAGAAAGTAACCAGATGACACCGATGGCACGTCACAATGACGAGAGTGTAAGAGAGTGATATATAAAGGAATACAGGCAACGAAGTAAAATTGTTCACAGGCGCTTTATAAGCATTTCAGTGCAATAACCGAGTAGTTATGACACAAAGGACGCATTTGGATGATTTTTTACGTGGAAGAATTATCGGCCGTCTGGAATGTGGGCGTCTGGAAGTATCAGACGAACTTGGAATTTCCTAGAGCTCCAAGTTCATCTCCAGGCTTTGGCAACGATTCCAAGATGATGGTAATGTGAGGAGACGTTACAGCACAGGTCGCCCCAGAGTTACAACGCCGAATGAGGACCGGTATTTGGCAGTTACTGCCAAAAGAAACAGGCGGAGCACAGCCTCAGACCTGTCTCGTCAGCTCTCTTCAGCCACTGGTACGACAATTTCAAGGCAAGGCAGACCGTGTACAGACGCTTAGGGCAGATTGGTCTATATGCTCGTAGACCTGTCAGATGCGTTCCACTTACTGCAACTCACTGTCGCCTGCGGTTAGCCTGGAGTAGAGAGCATGCATTGTGGACACCGCAACAGTGGGCTTGTGTGATGTTTTCCGACGAGTCCAGGTTTAGCTTGCAGTCTGATTCTCGCCGGACTTTCATATGGAGAGCTCCAGGTACCCGTTACCACCAAGAAAACATCATTGAACGACACCGTTACGGTGGTGCAGGAGTGCTCGTTTGGGGTGGAATTATTCTGGGTTCCAGAACTGACCTGCATGTTCAAATTGGAACCATGACAAGCCAAATCTATCGGGACGTCATTCTGGAACAACATGTACGTTTGTTTCGGGGCGCCATGGGTCGCACAATTTGTGTTTATGGATGACAACGCCCGTCCTCACCGTGCAAACATCGTAAGCGAATGCCTTTCAATCGGAGGATATCACCCGTATGGACTGGCCAACATTCTCACCGGACTTGAATCCAGTAGAGCACGTGTGGAAACACCTTGGCCGACGAGTTGCAGCCCGTCAACCTCCTCCTACATGTCTACCGGAACTTCGGAGAGCATTGCTTTTTGAGTGGTGTAATATCCCCCAAGATCAGATCGATAATTTGATACTCAGCATGCCTAGGCGTTGTACGGACTGTATTGCATCGTCTGGGAGACATACAATGTATTAACAATCATACCAAACATGTAATATTGGTTTTTTGTAAATAGTTTTTTTTTTTTTGTAATTTGCTCCAGGGAGGAAAAATTGCTACTTTTTTAATAATATCAAACATATAGCATCTTTTTTTTTTTCTCTTTACCTTTTGTTTAATAAATAAGCTTTAAAAATAAGTCAAATTTGTTTTGCTTCTAACTTTTCCTTTGCCTGATTTTGCATTATCCTTAATTTATGGACATGAGTGTATTTGAGAATATTTCGCTTACGGGTTTGGTGATTCGGCCTCAGATTATTCTGAATTAATATCAAGCAGCTGTGCTGCTGATTAATCACCTCAACTTGTGATAATTTTTTTGTATTATTTTTGCTTTAATGTCAAATCTGAAGTGAGGAAGAAGTGTGCTTATGATCTTGATGTGTCTGTGAAATTCTGTAGTGTTTTCCTTGTGCGAGGTGCCTGACTTCAATTCCGTTGACATTAAGTAATTATTTTCTACTTTTCAGCAAATATGAAGTTAAATCGTTGAATGGAATTTTATTTTATCCGCTAAATTCTCTCAAAAAATGTTCTGAAGAATGTAAAAATTAATCATTCAAGCGCGTGATTTTATTTGATAAGAATATGAAGTTGACGATGTTTTAAAATATTAAAATCAAGAACAATTTTTTCTTATAAAGTGTACTTTGCCACGCAACTATTTGCAAATTGGTGCTCTTTCTCTCGGTTTTGAAAAAAAAAAAAAAATATATATATATAATATATATATATACATGTTATAACTGTAGTTATCAACACTTTTCTTCTAACAAAAGTGATTAATCTGTTTGTATTCTTCTCATTTCGTGTGTTGAATATTTTTTACATTTTTTTAATAGATGCTTTCTTATGATTGACTATTAAATACATAATTCTGTAAAGTAGTAACCAGTTAATACTTTGTTGAAAATGTCCTTTGAGAAAGTTCTTAAATACGCGTTAAATGGTCTTATGATTGACTTATAGTTGCGTAATTCTGTAAGGTACTAGCCTTTTTACATTTTGTTGAAAATTACATTTCAGAAAGATTAATACAATTTTTAAGCATTGCTTCATCTTCAGCTATTGGAAATTTTAAATTTCATAACTCATTCTTTTCATGAAATGAATTTGTATCAAAAGAAAAGCTGGAAAATGCTGTATGTGTGTAACAGTAAGATTTTAACTGGCTACTGAAGTAATGAATAAATATTGCATTCTAAAATTTTACTGCATTTTTCTACTTTAAAACTTCTCTTTTTTCTAAATTCTTAGAATTTAATGTATACATGTATCATATATATATATATGTGCTGAACTGTAAACTGCTTATCATTCTAACAAATTATTATTATTTTCGAAATACTTATCTTTCATTTCAAAGTATTTTGTGATTTAATGATGCATTTAGTTTTTTTCTCTCTGAAATAGTATCTGAATGATGTCTAGTACTATATAAGACAAAGATTTACATGGATAGCAACCGGTCTTCAAACTATCCTCGCCTTTTACAAAATCCTTCCGGACCAAATACAAACAACTATGGATCTGTAAATGGTCAATATACTTCAGAAATTGAACCGTCCATCATGGAAGGCATATCTTTTGATGGGAAAATTTCCATTGCTAGAAGATTTTTTATACTTTTGACCATATTTGATGTGTTGTTCACGTTTCTTGTTTGGATCATATGTACAGTGGTAAGTACATTTAGATTTTAACTTGCATTATGAATGATGTTTGTAAAATATCTCTGATTTACCATACCTTTATGATCTAATGTCTGCTAAATCTCAGACAGTTAGATTTGTTTTCACCTTAGCATAACTTAAGTAAATGCTTTTAGAGTAGTACAAGTTTGGCATTTTTATGTAATGCGAAATTTAGCGATTCAACAAATTTTTTATTGTGAAATGTAGGGCTTTTGAGAATTAAAAATCTATTTTCTTTTAACTTTTTATTTGTTGCTTTTTTGTTTTGATGATTTAATAAATGTTGCATAAAATTATATTAAGTTTTGTATATTTTAAATTGTGACAAGATGAGAACTGCCTGTTTATAATTCAGATGTTGCAAATTACTTTTCTAATGCATGCAGGTTTTTTAGTTATGAATGTAACAGATGAAAGTGCTTAGTTTGTAGAATTTCTTTTTATATTTCTGAATGAGTTAAATTCCAAAGTTCAGTTTTTAAGATAAAAATTTGGTTCATAAAATTACATTTATATTAATGACATTTAGATATGCAGCTTTATGATTTTGTGTCTGTGTTCAAGGATTGATTTCAAAGACATTCTTTCAGAATGAAATTTTATGTAGAATGATTTGCATTTTTGATTGTCGAGTGTAGTAATCCAGAAAAGTATTTTGCTTTTTGATTTATGAAGAAGGGCTTATATCTGGTGGAGTAAAACGTAAAGAGAAATTTAGAAGGTAAATTAGAGAAATACGCTTCTTATTAAAAAAAAAAAAAAAATTATTTTTCCTCAGAAGATTGTACTACCAACTTTATCTAACAGGTTTTTCATGTAAAGCATTTTTAAAGTTTTGCCAGTTTAGCAAAAACTGCTAAACTCTGCTTTCGTTATCCAGGCCTTGGAGTTATGCATCTAGATCTAGAATATGGGCAACAGAGCCGTATTTTTGTTTTTTAATGCCCGTGAATTTTTGGCTTTATAAATAAGGCCTGGCTTAAGCATAAAACCTGCAGCATTGCCAGCCATGATGACAGTCATGCGGTCTTTGTGAGCCTTTAAGCCTGGCCTCTTCATTTCGTCTTTGAAGAGGAATGTACGCAAAAGGCATCCTCTTCCAAAAAAGGCATGTTTCATCCATGTTGAAAAACTTGTTCAGGGAGGCAACCTCCCTTACTAAGGGAGCAAGCCTCCCTTACTGATGAGGTTAGGAAACTCTTCCTCCACGTAACAACAAGTAGCATCATTGTCAGCAGAGGAAGCCTCACCATACAGAAGCGTGTTTCTGAAGCCGTAACTTTTTAAAAAATTTTCGAACCAGCCTTTGCTGGCTGGAAAAGCCTCATCCTCGAGGAGGCGAATCACTCCTGGCAGTGCTATTACTGGCTTGAGGTTCGTCAGCACCTTCTTCAGCCTCTTCATTGTCGTCACCAGGCAAGATTTGGTTGTAGAGAACTTTGGCCTTTGTCCTGATAATTTTAGTGTCCAAACTCACTTTTTCCTGCAATCCACAATGCCAGTGCAGCTTCCATTTCCACAATTCGGTTACCACACGTTTCGCTTCTTTATTGAAGCAGTTTTGCGGATGTTTGCTTTCCTCTCACTTGATGTACTGCACTGTAGATTCATTCACCCCGTAATGGCATGCCACAGATGCATAACTTCTGCCCCTTTTGATCATATCTAAAAGTTTTACTTTTTGCTGATGATCATCATCCTCTTTTTCTTGGGCACCCCAAAGCAATCTTTTGCAGGGGAGCAGCACTTAGGCGGCATTATAAGAGCTTAATTAATACAAAAAAGTTATCACTTAATAAAAAAAAGTTATCGCCAACACAACACTAAAATACAGTATGCGAGACAGTCAACATCATGAGGCGAGATACAACAAGAAAATATACTAGGTGAGTCTGTGATGATGTGCAGACGATCAACTCGCAGGAATCCACTCGTACTGTCATTGGTCGAGGTCGCACTGGAAACAAATGACGTGCCTTAATGAGTGCTCGTGGTATGTACTCTGAGTCAACTCGTCCCTTTGGTTGGTTGTATTTTTTCATTTTTATTTTTTGATGAATATTTTGGAAAAACCCACGAAGCACGAAGTGGCGAGGGAACACTGTATTTTCTGTCATATGCTGCATTTCCTTGAATGTATTTTCGCTACTTTTAACTTCGAAATTTTTTCCGAAAACTGAGAGGGAAAAATTATGTGGAAAATTTAATTTCTGAAGGATATGGTTACAGTAAGAAATCAAAAGTAGATAAATATAAAGTAATCATGGAAAAACTGCAGGTAACTAGCACAATATTATTTCCAATAATCATTCCAATAAGAATACGTAGTAGTATTAACATTACAATATCTAATAAGATATATTCATTTCTACTTTCCTGTAACTTTAATCTTCGCCAGCTGTTATTATTGTTTTTGCTACTTCTTAGGTCTGAAACCATCTATCAGTATTTCGAAAAAGTAAACGTGTGGCTGACTCGGCAGAATCGTAGACTGAATTTCAGTTCATGTTTATTTCACTATCAGGATGGCATAAAGGTCAACAGCTAGAAGGGAAAGATTTCGTGTGACCTTCGCAAGTATTTTATGAGAGTTTGTATGTAAAACAAAAATGAGCATGCATGTTTTTTCCCCTTTCTCTTTTTTTTTTTTTTTTTTTTTAATCCTACACCCATCTTTGACATTTCTGCCATTTGTCGACGAGCAACCCAATAAAATGATGAGGGTGTAAAAAAACAAGAATGAAAATTAGCCTCCATAGAGTTGTCTGTAATAAATTTTAAAATAATAGGGCAGTTCTTGAAGTGGGCATCATCCATATCACCCTGATGACACAGAGGGCAACAAGCTGAATCTTTGACTCCAATCCGATGTAACTGTCAGTGAGGGCTGCTTAAAGGCAATAAGCACAGTAGCAGATTTAGCATTACCCAAGGTGCAGGGAAAATTATGCAGATATTTTTCAAATTTTCTGAACCTGACACTAAAATGCTAAGTAGTAAATGCTTGCACTAAAATGCTAAAATACTAAACACTAATAAGAGTTGGCGGTACAAGAGGAAAAACAGTGTTTATTGCAAAAGCTCTGGATATTGCTGTGGTACCACCATGTTTAGATATTGCAAAACAATTAATTACCCTGCTGTTGAATACATTATCCTTGTTGGACCACAAGGTAGGCGAGGTTGTTGGAATCTGAAATTTGATTCTTTAAATATCCTACTTACAAATCCTTTTTGCACAAAGAGTCATGTTCTGAGAGTGTCTGTGCTATTATTAAAGAAAATGGAGCAATCAGTTTATGCAAATGCCTTTTTGTTGTAACTATCTCAGGTAGTCTTCAAAAAATTTTATCCATTTTTGTGTAAAAGAATGTCACATTTTCTACAGATAAACTGAAAGCTTTTGAGAAGCTTTGCTGTGCAGATTTACATATGAAAAATATTTCAGCCTTTCAATCTAGATCACTTCACGCTGCAGCTATGGTGGAACAATATATATATTTTTCCCCCCCACATGAATGGACCAAATTTCTATTATAGAGTTATATCTGAATTAGAACCTGTATTATCTGTTCTTAAAATTTCAAGCTAGTATTTATATAATACTTTATGACTATAATGTATGCTTATGTCTAGTGAAAGTAGACTGTAATGCATGTATCCGAATAAGAGCAACTTCACTGATGATGTCAGTGGAAGGTTAGATTAAATTGTTTTTGACTTGTTGCTGCAGAGCAGTCGTCAGCATTAGATTACAATTTGAACAGTGCTTTTACATGGATATTTTTAACAAATAAAATAATTTTTTATTAGTGATAATGTAAATTTAAAGTATGTGTGACTGTTATAAGTATAAAATGTAAATGTTTGAGAAATTTATGTTCCTAATTTAGCTAATTATTGTTAACTTTTAAGAGACTGTATTTTTTCTGGCGGCACCAGCGGCCGAGCAGTAAAGTCACTGAACACTGGTAGTTCGGTTCGAGTCACTGAACACTGGTAGTTCGGTCTGAGGTCCGAGAGTTCGGTCCCGCGAACGAGCTGGCTCCATGGGCATTTTCGTGGTTTTCCCCATGTGTTACGTGTATACGAGCCAGTTTTCCTTAGAAAGTCCTCCACGAAGACATCCCTCCTCTTAGGCTGATAGCCCTAGTGTGCTTTGCCATAATTAAATACACACACCAATTATTTTTTCTGAAATTTATTGTATAGTTATGTTAAATGTTAGATTATGCTTAATAATAATGCATCTGGCATATATTTCTGTTTTATTCGTGGAATGGTATAACAAATAAATTTAAAAAAAAATGATCATACAGATAATTGCTTTCATTTATTTAGTTCCCATTTGCTAATTGGTCTTTATTTTTTTCATTTATGGCACTTAAAAGTTTTAATTTTCATGTGCAGAAATTGGTATGAACCCTGTATATTACAGCCTAAACATCTGGGCATCAAGATTTTCATTTTATGGAAAAAAAATTTTGTGCATTTAATTTGAAAGTCTTCTATTATCCTGACAAACAAGCATGTTAATTTGTCAGTTCTTCTGGTGGAAAGGATCTGATTTTTTTTTTTAATCTGCAGAAGTTAAAAGCTAAATAGTTATTGTTTCAGTTGTGATAAACATAATATGTTTAATTCTGTGAACTAGGAATGATCTTTGTTTGACACTTGTTATGAATATGAAATTTAATGTGATTAAATAAAGTATCTTACATTTTTGTGTGTGCCATTGCATAGAATTATTGTATTATTGTTTTGAAACCCATCTTAGATTTCTAAGGAAGACACCATTGCAACTGCTTTTAGGAATGAAGTTATCAATTATACTATTGAGTCATCTATGTTTGATGTTGTGGTAAGCAAATTATTTTTGTAACATTACTGTTGATCTCTGTTATAAGTTTATTTCATAATAGGAATAATTTTCAGGGATGTAAAATTGCTTTAACCATGTCATTTATTTTGTCATTATCTGCTAGTATTTTAAACTTTGATGTGTTTTTCAGATTTTAGCTGTAGCCAGATTGTTCCTCATAGTACTGTTCTATGTGTTTATCAGACTATCTCACTGGTCGGTTGTTGCTGTAAGTTGTTTATATGGAATATTTTAGTTTTTGAATAATATATTCGTCATTTTCTAAATATTGTTTGTGAATAGGTAATATTATTTTCATATTAACAGGTAACTACAGCAGGCACAACAGGTTTCATCATTGCAAAAGTATTTTTGTACAAAGTAAGTATAAAATTATTATTTTATTTATGAATTAGAACAAATGTCAGCATACTATAAAACTGCAACAGAGGTGAAGAAAGCTAATGTGCTCATTGTTGTTTCAAGGAATTTATCAAGTTGCTATGTAAATCAGCTCTTCTGTGTCTACTTTCATCTAGTGGAAGCATTTACCTTACGTGAGATGTTGAACTGATAATGCTATAAGCCAAACTGCATGGGAGACTTTTAATTTCTCTAGGCAATCAAATTTTACCTAGAGATTTTCTCTGGCATTTCTGTGGTGTTTAGCTCATGATATATTATCATTACAACAATCATGCAACAAATGTCTAGGATAATTATATATGTCTTTCTTTCTATTTCCTATAATAAGTCATTTTTTGAAATTTTGCAATAGTAGCTTTGTTGATTTTTATAACTGTTGAAGCTGAAGAACATTCATAGCAAAACATCCTATAGCTGACATTCATTGAATTTAATAGTGAATTGTAATGTTAACATGTTATGTTAATGTAAACAGTTTAAATGCTAGAGAAATTTTTAACCTGATTTATCATTTATATACATTTTTCGATTTGTCAGCAGGAATGTCACATGATAATAGCTTATGTAAATTAACTGGAAATATTATGAAATTGGTGACGAATGATCATCTTAAAACTAACATGATGTGATATTTCTTATAAGGCTTCAAAAACATGGAGCAAATAATGTTTAGGTGCTCTAATAAATCAGATTCTTCTATTACATACTTCTTGATATAGAATGTTTAAAGTTGAGTCTTGTATCTTTTGAAATTTTGCGTATCCCATCCACAAGAAGAAAAATGTCTATGGATAACACACCAAGTTAAAAAAATTCCTCTGCCATCTAAACTATTAACAATGCAATTCGCGGTTAAATTTAATGAATGTGAGCTGCAAGATGTTTGGCTAAGTTCTTAAATTTTTTTTCCTTCACTTGTTTAAAGTTTCATATACATTGATAATTAAAAAAAAAGTATGTGTAAATGATGCACAGAGTATAACATTTATCTAGTATCGAAACTGATTTCTCTATTAGTGAGGTCGTTGTATTCTTGACCTCATAGATTTTGTGAAGAATAAAACATTCTCTGCAATTTCTAGCATTGTATTTAATAAAAATTTATATAAATTTTATTTATTTATTTTTTGTTTGTTTGAATAACAAAAAGTGTTTTTATATGTAATCTGCTATCCATGAAATGAATACTACACATATTTGTTTTACATGAAGAATGGGAAGTATATATAACCTAATTATGGAAAATATCTTCCACAGCAATAAAAAGATATATATATATATATAAATGTTGGTAAATGTTTTTTTATTATTATATTTTGAATTTGCTTTTCTAAAAAAGTAGACTATATCTCTTAAATGTTTAAAAGTATTTGATCATTTACCCAGAAATTTTTTAAAAAAATTTTAAAAGTATCAGTTGCTCTTTGAAAAGCTGAATTTTGAATAGCTGCTGTTTAAACTATTCCCAAGACCTTTTAATGATGTGTTTCTTTTTTCTGGCAATTAGTAAGTTCTTTTGACAAAAACTAGCAAGCCTTTCATTGGTGAATTTATTATTTTTTTATTGTAATTCTTTCTAATGACTAGCAGGTTCTTTTCCTTAGAGGATTTATTTTTTAAACTTAATTTCTAATTATTTCCATTTTTTTAGTTTTTCAGCATATTTTTGACTTTGTGCTTAGCTAAAATTGACAAAGAATTTTTCGGTCCCTCAATTCACAAATTGTGTTCTGTTGTGACTTATCCCACCTGATCGACAGTAGCATCTGATTAGGTCTCTGAAATCAGAGCAAGCCCACGAAATTAATCATGGCAAGGGGTTAAAATTGGGCCTGTGATTGGCAAGAGCCTTGAGCACTACACAGGTGCTAGTACGAGTTTGCTCCCTGCGAGGAGATGTTTGCAAGTTTCTGCCACCCTTCTTCTCTTTCCATTAGCATCTTGAGTGGACTTTCAGCTCACCACATATCTAGAGTGCCCCCAGGGCGCACAGACACTAATCCAAAAATGAAAATACCAGTAAACATTGCAAACTTGTATCATTTCAAAAGAAGGATTTTAAAAAGCATTCTTAACCATTTGAGTCCCAAGGGTATTGAAAAAACACTGTTGAAGAATCCCAAATAGTGCAACCGCACTTTCTCTAAATGAGTATGAAAAGAACCAAGCAGCGCAATAGCACTTGTTTTATTTTATGTTGAGAAATACCAAGCTGGGTGATATCGTTTTGTTTATTTTACATCAATGTGCAGTTGATTTAATTCAAGTGCTCACATTATCAACATCAAGTGCACCGTCAGTTGTCCACAATGTTCAAAATGTACTGGATTTTCTCGACATAAAATCTCAACAGCACGATCACGCTGCTTGGGACTCAAAAGGGTAAGCCACATTCTACTTTCAATGACCCATAAACAGTCCGCATCAATATCACATTCTAATAAAAAAATAAACAGATGCCATACTCAAAAACAGAGTCTTGTTAACTCAAGAATACCACTAAAAAAATAAACAATTAACTATAGGTCTCTATCACTATTTATACTGAAGTATAACAAATGTGTTATTACATTGCAGATTTATAGAGAAAGATGTCTAGTAAAAAAAGAACATAGGTTTAACTGTACCAGCTAATTAAATACTACAGTTTCAGGTAGAACTTATTTTTTGCTGCAGACTTATTTAAGCAATATTATATCCTCATACATGTAACTTTTTCTGGCAGTCATGTACACCATTTGCTTACTTCTTCTCCCTGTTCCACCAACTTATCTCTATTAGATGTCAGCAAATGTGCTTTTTATTGTATCAGACCAAAGCTGTTTGCTCACTAAACTGAATTGGTTGTTTTAGAACTTGACATTCACAAGCGGTAACACTGATGAATAAGGTTATAAATTATTTATATTATAAGGAGCGAATCAAAATTAGGATGGGAGGATAGAGTGGAGAGTGATAAGATGGAATGAAGAGTGGAATTGGAAGAATCAACTGAATAAAACTGCTGACTTCCTAGATTAATTTTTTTCAACTGTAGTTTTGAGATTCCCTTCTTTCTATGTAGAACTAACAATAAAATTCTGAAATGAAAAATGCTGAAAAAGTTATAAAATTATAAAAATTAAACTCATTTCCATTTTAGAGAAGAAGTATACCCTTCTTTCCTAAAATGGGAATTGAACTGGCTTGCTTACAGCAGACCTCTCATAGGTTTGTAGGTTCCATGTTCACTGAGTAAAGTTAGTCAATTCTTTAAACTAGTTCATGAGCAGATCGTGCATTCTTAATTTGTATTCCTTTACTACTGTGTGTTACTGTCCCGCTGAGAATGTTGCCTGTTAGACTTTAAAACAAGTGTAAGATAAGTAAAATTCTAAATGTTTTAAAACAGGATATATTGGTAAAAGTATATTTACGGGTACCCTATTGGCAATTTTTGGCGGTACATGGATACCGAGTTTGTGCAATTCTTTGACTTGTTATGTTGGCTTGTGTAGTGGCAATTTTTGCAAAGCCAACATAGCAAGACAAAGAACTGCACAAACTCAGTATTCATGTACACATCAACCTATTTTCACTTTAAAAAATTATACCAGAATTGCACAAAAAAGGCATTGCTCACTCCTTTGCCATTATCCATGTACACATTGACCTATTTTCACTTAAAAACATCAGAGAATTGCACAAACTAGGCTTTGCACATTATCTTTGTCCATGTACACATCAAACTACATTCACTTAAAAAGGTCAAAGGAGCAGCCAAAAAATATATATATAATCTCAATAAACTACATTTTAAATCAAATAATGAAATAACATAAAAAAGGAAATTCGTCTTTGCACTATACTAAGGCTATATCCACGTATCTTCTTTACGAATTAACACATCTTCTGTCAAACAAAATTCCTTAACAGCACCAAAAAACTTCCTTATCTGAACTAGAATCTGTATACTGGCATCGCCACATAAATAAATAAGAGTAAAATATATCCTCCATAGCGACGTTCAACCGTACACATTTCCTTCCTAGAAACAGGACACCTTATAATGGCTACTAAGTAAACCTTTATTTACAGACCAGTCGAGTAATGCTCTTTTCCCCTTGCTTTCCAAATCGTACAAAAACTTCAAATTAATCGTACTGCATTCAGCCATTTTACTGTCTAAACCACAAAACAAGCAATATACTTACTAACCAACACACACCACAAACCCTTACGAATTTACCGCAATCATGCAACTGATTACGTCATAATAGGGTTTTCATAACATTCAACTACTCAAGCTGCCATAAATGAAACAACAACTTTGCGATAGTACAAGGGGTACCCTTCGCTCTACTCTAACTGGATATATTTAATACTAAATTAAACAGCATTTTCCTAGGTTTAATGAATTGCCTTTTCTTCATCCACAAATAAAACAACCATCCCCTAATGTGATCACCTAGGTTCACCTAATGATAAAATCTGCCCAGTATTTGAATGATAGTATGCATAAGATTTTAAGTTAGGTATACTGTTAACATTTTTATAATGTGTATTATTATTTTGTGGCAGTTTGTCTTTTGTAAATTTAAATGTTAGCTTCAAGACTGGTGGTGGTTTTGAAATTTTTTAATGTGTTCAGTATTTATTTTACTTGTAATGCTTTCTGATATTTTTAAAAATTATTTTATTTTTCAGTTTGCTCATTCCAATAGTACTGCTTCAATAGTGCTGTTACTATGCTCATTTGTATTGTCTTGGGGAGAAGCATGGTTTTTAGACTTCAGAGTTCTTCCAAGTGAATCTAAAGCCTTATCATTCTTAGGTATGTTTAAATATATTTGTGGTAGTAATATATATTTAAAGAGCTTTTTGTTTTGTAATCAACAACTTAACTGATTTTAAGGTCTTTTTAAAAATAATATTGCCTATTAAACATCATACTTCTCCTGTTCTTACCAAAATAATGGTCTGAAAGTTTATTAAAATTTCAACTTGCATTTTTTTTTTCCCTCTTGGCTTCGGATTTCAGCTCATTTGCTTTTGTTTGAAGCAGCAATCATTTATGTAGCTTTATTGGTTGAATATGATGTTTATTGGTTTTCTGAATTTTGTAGTACTTCCTGTAATTGATCAAAAACTTTTATAGATTTGAGGAATTTTGTTCATAAATTTTCGATATGACAAAAGGAATTTAATGAAGGGCATTCTGTTGTCCTTTATTTTTTGTTTCTTTTTCACAGAGCCCTGTTGCATACAGTTTCTTAACCCTCTCACTGTGTACGTTTTTTTTTTATCAAAATAGGTTAAAAAATTGCGTTTTTATTGCATATTTCATAACATTCAAATCTACATATATTTTAGAGTTAAAATATATGTAGATTTGAAATATGCAAAAAGTTAGAGTTAAAATATATAAAAAAAATTTGTAAAAGAGTTTTTTTTTTTTTTTTTTTCAATATAGAGTTAGATCATAGAAAAAGGTTGCCAGAATCTGAAATTGAAGAAAATGATATAAAAGGAAAATTTTGAAAACTAATATTGGTTAAATTATGATTTATTTATAAATACAAAGGTAAACATGTACTATTGAAAATATTTGCATAATGGTAAGTTTTGCATATCATTTTGCACCATTCGAACGTTTTCAATAGAAACTGAATTTTCAGATTCATCGCTATCTGTAGAGGAATCTGAGAAATTCTCATCAGTTTTGCTATAACTATCTTCAATATACTTGAAATCAGAGTCAGAACTACCATCAGTGTCGGAAGAATTCGTCAGGAATAGAGATTATATCACTTGCAAAACGCTTCCTGCCAGACATTTTTTAGCTCTATTTAGTATTCTTGTATATTTGGCAGAAATGTGGACAACTAACGTCATCTGTTAGCCACATCTAAATAAATAATTAAACATCACAGAAAAACCGCAAGGAAACCTTGAACGGGGAAAGAGTGGGTTGTACAGTTAAATAGATGGCAAAAGTTCATCCCCGCGGAAATCGTAGATTCTGCAAATTTTGCTACTTTTACGTTGCCCATGGAAATTGCAGGATGTGCAGCGAGAGGGTTAACTTCCAAAATGCTAGATGATTCTGTGATAGTTGTTGCAGTTATGGTACAGACATATTACCTTTCTATGGAGCTTACTGATTAATACATGTTGTACAAATATAAAATTAAACATTAGGAATTTAGTTGCATACACTAAGAAAACTTGGTGCCATATACAGTTTTACAGTGTCAACAATAATATATGCTAATGCAGTTTTAAGCATGTGGAATTTATTCCTTCCCCTTTCTTCTGATGTGTAGGTGTTATTTAGTGTTTAATCCAGCATTATTTTCTTTGTAACTAAGCATCCTTTCACTCAGTGAAAAAAAAAAAAAAATCTGTCTTGCATTATAATCAGCATTTCAGGAGGATCTGAATTTTTTTTAGTTAACAGTAACTGTAGTTTTTAAGATTTTAAGACTTGTAAATCCAGTAGCTGTAACTTATGTTTGAAATAATGCTAGACTTTTTTTTTTTTTTTTTTTCTGTATCAGATTGTAAAATAGTCAAGATTATCTCATTTAAGCTTTTAAAACCTCCGTTTAAATAACTTTATCATACCTTGGATCAAAAAGAGCCTTTTCAATTGGCTCATAGTTCACCTTAGTAGCATATTTGCAGTGTGAACTTATTTGTGGTCACTATTGTCTAAGGCATGAATCTCATGATTCACTTTATTAAATTCCTCCTTTCATGAAAAGTATTTTGGCATTTTTATTTGCAGACAAACATAAAGAATAGAAGTTCAACTTAAAGTTGATTAAACTTTCTTGTGCATTCTTAATGTTTGTTGCTCATTGAATTATTTTAATTCAGACTTTTATTCATTTTGGATAACTTAAGATATTTTATCATAAAATGCCTTTCTAATATAACATATTTATATTTCTATATTGAGTTTCAGATTAAAACAATATAACTTTAGATTAGTTTCATAGCTCACAATTCAAGAATGGGCATTGCTTAGTGTTTTCTTGCATATTTCTACTACAAGAGACTGTTGCAATCTTTTCATCTGCTTTTGGATTATTTCTTTTCTTTATAGATTTTGGAACTGAAGTTTTTTTTTTTTTTTTTCCCATGTCATTGAAATCTTATTCTCAGTTTCATTATGAGCAGATGTCATCAAGTTGTTCATTTCATTAGTATATGACAATCCTGTTTTTATTCGTTGGTGTTTTCAACAATTCCTGTGTTACACAGTTAAAGGAAATACATTTTCGGTTGCAACTATTTTAAGCTCTTAAAGAGGATTTCACCTTGTAATAGAGTCATAAAAGATGAGATAGACTGTGCCATATTTATTATAACTGAAATAAACCACTAATAAATCTGTCATCAAGTTTTTAAAGCTTCCATGGTGCAAGATAAAAGATCACTGTTGATTATTTGATATTCGTAATTGATAACCCGATTGTGTGATATAGAAATTTATCTCCATTATCAGTATTGTGATTTCCATATGCCCTTATTGCCACCAATTTGTGCTTCCATGAAATTTCTTTAAATACATCTGCAGAGCTTTTTAATGTTTTGCAATATTATTGAAATGATCAGTCTTGCAAAACATGAAAATGTCCTAATTATGAATGGTAGTAGTATTTCTTTGCCTTTGCACTTTAAAATAATTACCATTTGGTTTGAACACATGGTGGCCTCCCATCTTCTCTGAAGATGTTTTAAAAAAAAATAACCCATTAAATGTCAAATGCCTGTTTGAGCTTGGTTACAGTAAACCTTCGATTTTTGTGGACCTTGAGTAAATTAACTGAATTAAAATAATGTAGCAAATATAGTTGGGAGAAAGAAACTATTGAGGCAAAAATTTTGAGCAGTTGGAGCATAATGCACAAATTGAGCTAATTAGTAAACTAGAGGGTAGTGTGTCTGTTGCTCATGTGTGTGGACTTTGTATTGTGAAGAAATGAAATATTTTGGATATTAACATGAATAACAAAAAGATTTCAGCAATTTTTACGCTAATACAATGTCAAGAAATCAGAGTGATTCCACAGTAGGAGATAGGAAGCATGTGAAATTTGCCAAACATGAACAATTAGAATTTGTGTACAAATAGTTGGTTCAACAGGATTCTGCTGGAGCACCACACATATTGTAGAGCTGCAGACTGCTACAATGCTCATGAGTATTGGATTTATAGTGACTGACGGGTGGGTGTGCTGATTTCCGTAATGGCATGGTATTAACAACAGAAATACGTGTGGTGAAGCATTAAAGGACATGAATCCAGAATGCTTTGGGTGTTCTCACAAAGCTAATTGAGGAGTGTATTGCTGTCTTACATTGTTCACTGCTAATGGCATGCAACACTGTCTTCTTATGCCCACAGTGGTTGGAAAAGGAAAGAAACATCAGGAATCAGTTGCCAGTCATTTGCTCTATCTCAAGGGATGCATGATTTACGTACGATACATTTTTTCTGATTTTGTTCTTCAATTATTTTGTATTGGAAATCCAGGAATTTTAGGAACAGTTTCTGAAAATCTTATCCCTAACTGCAAAAGTTGTTTTGATGCTTGGTAATGGACCTTCTCATCCTAACACCCTAACACTAGGATATAAGTTAACAGGGATGGAAGAATAAAATATGTCTTTCACCAAATACATCTTTGGTTAATACAACCAGTGACAGGGAGTAATTGCTGCCTGCAAAGGGACTGTACCAGAATTTTCTTGAAAAGGTTATGTTTATCTTGAAGGATGAGAGGCACCAGGACACTGAAAGTCTATGCATCACATATTTTTCTCCCTAGCCATTTAGAGCTAGGGAGAAAAATATGGGTCTGAAAGTTAAAAAAAAGATTTGAATAATTTTCTCCGACTTATACTGTACATCATTGTTCCCTCTGAGGTCTAGTTTATTCGTAAATTGCATTCCCTTGGTTATTTTTATTCACAGCATTCAATTTGTATTAGCATTTCAACCATTTAATTTTCCGTTGCATTTATTATTTGAAACAAAATTTGGGTGAATTCTTCATTAAATTACCTGGACATGGCAGGTGTTCCCAAACTTAAGAAATTTTCCAAACATGTATTTTCACCTTACTTCTGTTGTTTTTGTTTCAGTTTAATTGTAGCATTATCTACTGGTGATGCTTTTGATCTTTCAAAATCCTGCTCTTCTGTGCATAACCCTTCTCATTTGTTTCTCTGATTTCCCCAGTCAAGAGACACATTCATATAATGTGCCCTTGGGGCTATACTAGTAATTTAGCCCTACTACATATCTCAGTTACCATGAGATATCAGCTTAATATCCATGTGTTACTGTTATGTTAATATTACTGTGCATACCTTTTGGATTCTAGATTTCTTTTAAAAAAATAATATTGTGATAGTTACCAGTAGTTTATCCATGACTGCCTTTCAATTATTATGTTCATACTATAACCACATTGTTTATAAATTAAATTACTCGTATAATTTCTCTCAATATTCAGATAATAAAATTAGTTATAAAGGGGGGAAATGTGGTATATAGCAAACATGGCCAAACTGTGGCTCTCTGGGACCTTCACTGCGGCTCGTGACCTTGTGGCTCTTTTGCCCCCTAAATGCAACTTGCTCTCAATAAACATTAGCTTAATTTTCAACATATAATTGCATTTTGAAATAGAAATCATGCAATGACGTGTTTCTTTGTTAATTAGTAATTTACTTTTTTGAATTATATTATGTATGTAACAATTTAATCAATTTCAAGCTATCCGCGAGTTTGTCATAGAGAATAACAAACAGAATTGC